TCTCAACCTGGTACAATGGACCTTTCCTGCCAACCTTCTAAGTTATCTTGACTAGAAAATTGTTTCACTCCATCTTTTTGTGTGTTCTGCTGCTCTAGAATTTGTTTAGAGTCATTATTTAAAGGTATTGGAGGGGTTTGGCAGAGAGTTCAGGTGAGTCCCTGCCTTTATTCTGCCATCTTGGCTCTGCCCTGTCCCATTTTATTGGGAGGCTAAAATTAACAAAGATCTCAGGAGTAAGAAAGCTCCGTTAAAGAACTTGAACATAAACTGATAAACCAACAGGGAAGACATTAAGAACAGGATTATGGCTTCCAGATGAGCTAATATTTTGCAATGCTAAAGAAAAGGAATCAACACCTAAGGAGGCAGAGGACCTAAAAAATTCCAAAGATAGGACAGAACTGCAGGAGAATGTTCCCTAAATGGCTTCAAAGAGAAACAAGAATTGTGAAAATTGAACTTACAGCCTGCAAAGAAGAAATAATTGGCAGAACACAAAAAACTTGACTCCATGGTAACAAACCTGACCAAAGAAACAAAAAAGAGACTGTATGAATATGCAAATACACAAAAGTGAAGAACAATCTGGAAGGAAAGAAGCAAAATAACAATAATAGCATTAAAAGAAAACATTATTGGGGCAGCTAGGTGGTGCAGTGGATAAAGCACTGGCCCTGGAGTAAGGAGGACCTGAGTTCAAATCCAGCCTCAGACACATAACACTCACTAGATGTATGGCCTAGACAAAAAAAAAAAAACAAGAAAACATTATCTCTACAAGCAAAAACTTATATCTCAAAAACAGGTTGCAGAGAATCAATTTGAGGATTATAGGTCTTCCAGTAGAACGTAAGTCAAAAAACCTCAGCTCTACAAAGCAAGAAATAATACAAGAAAACCGCCCAGAACTTCTGAACACAAAAACCAAAATGTTAATCAAACAAATCCATAGATTGCTTTAAAAAACACAATGGTATGGAAGGGAATGTAGACTACAGTAGAAACAGTACCAAAAACAAACAAAAAAATAACCCTACTTCAACTTCCAGGTAGAATGTAAATGGGGACATTTTAAAGTAAAGAAAGTAAGTGCAAGAAGCAGAGATACAATCTGAATGAGGGGAAAGAAGAGGAAGAAGGAAGGAAGGAGGAAGAAGAGAAGAGAAACAGTACTTCAATCTCTTTCACCTTCTTCTTTGTAAACAAAAAGAACAAAAAGTACAAGAGGATATAGCAAGATAAAGTATGCAATAAACAGTCAACAAACGCCTCATGTATAAAAATATGTACTGTAGCACTTCTGGTTGGAGCAAAGAACTGGAAACTATCCACTATGTGCCAGGCACTGTGCTAATAGATGGATAGAAAGAGGCAAAATCTGTACCCTACCCTCAAGAAGCCCACAACCATAGTGAGCAGATAACAGGCAAACAACTAAATAAATTGTAAGTAATTTCAAAAGGAAATTGCTAGCATTAAGAGGAAACAGAAAAGGTTTTTTTTTGTAGAAAATGACATTTTAGTTGAGACTTAAAGGAAGCCAGGGAATCCATGAGGCAGAGACTAGGAAGATAAGCATTCCAGGCTTGGGGAAGACAGATTGTAATAATACACAGAGTAGAAAGTCAGGCATGTCTCATGGAAGGAACGGCAAGAAGGCCAATGTCACTGAAGCAATAAAATATACGGACAGTATATAAGAAAAATGGAAAGACAGGAAAGGGTCTGTTTATCAAAAGCTTTAAAAGCCAAAGAGATGATGTTATATTTGTTCCTGGAGTAAGACATCTGAAGTAAACTGAATAGGGCCCAACTTTTGCTTTAGGAAGAACATTTTGGCACTTGAATGCTAAATGGTCAACTGGAGCAGAGAAAGACTTGTAGCAGAGGGAGATCATCCACTAGGCTAGTACAATAGGCATGAAGTAACAAGAACCTTCACCTGGGTGGCAACAATACAGGGAAAGTATACAGAGATGTTCTGAAGGTAAAATCCACAGAACTTGGCAACAGAATGGATATGGCAGTCAAGTGTGCGACTCAAGTGAGTAAAGGGTGACACCAAGTTTTCAAGCCCGGAGGAATGGGAAGAAGGTGGTGCCCTCAAAAGTAATAGGGAAGTTAGGAGGAGAAAAGAGTTTAAAGAGGAAGACTAATCAGTTTTGGTCATGTTTTGTGAAAAAGAAGGAAGGAAGAGGGGAAGGAGAAGAGGTAGCTCTCAATGAGTGGCCTGAATTTTTAGGCAAGGTTCTCAGCTAAGATGGTGGAAGGAGAAGAAACCATGGGAAGTTTGAGGAGAATTGAAAAGGTTTAAAAGAGTTATTGTAGTATCTGGGATAGTGAAGCAATGCAAAATTACTACACCTTAAGAAATGACAAAAACAGATATAGTCAGACAAACCAAGTGAAACCTGTATAAAGTGATGCAGAATGAAGGAACAGAACCAGAATAGAAAATTATATAATGGCTATGACAAAATAAAGAAAAATAACTTCTAAAGATTTAAGAAGTGTCATCAGTGCGAACTAGCCTTGATTCCAAAGGACCATTAATGAAGCATATATCCCACTTCTTGACGGGTGATGCACTGGCAATGCAGGATGACACATATGTTTGAACATGGCAAATTTGTGGATTTGATATGCTTGACTATGATTATTTTTTTACAAGAGTTGTTTTTGGGGGGATTTTTTTGTTTTTTAGTAGATGGAGGATGTTTTTTAATGGATGGGGAAAAGAGAGAGAAAATAATGATAGTGATCCAAAAAAAAATTTAATGAGCAAGATAAGTTACTGAAAAGTTGCACATAAAAGGACTATTAGAGATGTGGTAGGACAGCTATTCAAAAGCCTCCTCTTGTGAATACTTCCATTAAAGGAAGACTGTTTTATAAAATAATTACACATATTATAACTACATCCACATATATTGTTTTTTAAATAAAGATTATTATTTGTAGCACTTGCCTAAGGTAACTATCTGAAGTTTGAATCTATTCTAATGGTCAAAGGATTGGAATTAAGAATTGCAATTAACAACCACATGAAAGATTATTCTACTTCACTAACAATAACAGAAATGGAAATCAAAACAAGTGAGATTTCATCTCAGAAAAAGCCAATTAGCAAAGATGACAAAATATGTAAGCAATCAAAATGAAAATGATATAGAAAGTAAGGCACATGTATACACCTTTGGTGGAGATATAAACTGGTCTAACCACTCTGAAAAATAATTTGGAATTACATATTTTTTTCTAGCGACTGAAATGTCCATAATTCTTCAACTCAGAGATTTACTATTAGATGTAAGTCCCAAGAAGGTCAAATACAGAAAGGTTATCATATAAACCAAATTATTCACTGTAATATTTTTTGTGGTAACAAAGAACTGGAAATAAACTAAGTACCCATTAATTGGGAAACTGCTAAATAAATAAAACAGAAATACTGTATCATTGGGCAGCTAGATAGCACAGTGGATAGAGCTCCAGCCTTGGAGTCTGGAGGATCTGAGTTCAAATCTCACCTCAGACACTTGACACTTACTAGCTGTGTGACCCTGGGCAAGTCATTCAACCTCAATTGCCTCACCAAAAAAGGGAGGGAAGAAAAAGAAATACTGTACCATAAGAAATAACAAATTCAGGGAAACATGAGATTTATATAAGTGATAGAGAGTGAAGTTAAGCAATACCTGGAGGACAAACTATATAATGACTATAACAATGTAAAGAGAAAAAAACAAAACTAAATACAACATAACTATAATGATTAAATTTGGAGAAGGACAAGAATTGAAAAAATATACTTCTTTCCATGCACTGCAGAAGTGCAGGACTGCAGGTCTGGAATGTTGCACATGCTGAAGGACAAGATCAATGTGTTGATTTATTTTACTAAACTTTTTTTCCTTTTAAAAAAAATCTTTGTTAAAAGGAAATGCTTCCTAGGGAGGGGTAAAGAAGGGAATATTTAGCAAAGAATGTAAAATAAAACAAAAAGTATCAATAAACACACACACATGCATAGGCACAACCAACAAATGCCATAAATTTTAAATTTAATAATTAATAATAAACAGTTTTATTTATTTAATAAACAATATTTATATTATATTTATATATAAATCTGTAATTATAAAAATAAAGAAATTTAACTTTCAAATAATATAGCACTTCTTTTATTCCAATAAAAAAATATACCTCCAAAATCACTGTTAAGAAAAGAAACAAATGGTCTTAACTCAGGCCCTATGTAGCCAGTCTCTTTTTAACAACTCTTACTCAACAAGGACAGGCTTCAGAATCATAGGACTTAAGCTTTCAAAGCTTTGTGAAGCTTCTTTCAGTTGGGCCTGGGAAGAGACTTTTAAAAAATAAGTCCCATTGTGGTCGAGTGAGAAAAAAAAGAATTCTGAAGAGTATACACATCTGTGGCATCTCAATATGAATGTCAACAATGGACCCCTATAAGGATATTATCTGGGCTAGAGGGAGGTGGTAACTCTTTTTAGCCTGTTAAAATGAAGGAGTCTAATAATGGTCATGAATATAATTAGGAACCATGAACAAAGGGAATTATAAAATCAGTTTCCTTTATTTGTGTACATGTTAGTGAATATAGAAAGGTTAAATAAATGCCACAAGACACCAGGGGGAAAGTCAAAGAAGGGATAAAAGAAGGTGAAAGTGTAGAAAAGACATTTTAAGCAGTCTTCTTTGTGTAACCTCTTTCCTAAGGAGGAGAAAACTGAGGTAGATAAATGTGGTGTAGTGATTTAACCAAATGTCAAACAGTGCATCTATGGCAAAGCATAATCATACTCATCCCCTACCTCCAATAAATGTTCAATCTCTCTTAACCCAGGAATTGAGGCTGTTCAAAAGAGACAAAACTTCAAAACGAACTTGAAAAGGATAAGGAGATGACTAAGTTGATCCTACTTGTTTATTTCAAAGGCTTAAGCAATTTAAAATAAGAATTAAATACTTACCACTTTAACTCATGCATTCCAATGTTCAGTTTCAGAAAATCTATAGTATTTTACTTCAATAACAGAACACTCCTGGGAGGGAAGAAAAAAGGCAGAAAGACTTCTGTCAATAGGCATCTCTCATTTTCATTCATTATTTTCAATTTGCAAAACTAAAGCCAAACATTCCATCTTTTTTGTTAGGATCACAGAATTTAACAGTTGGAATGTAGCTTCAAATTCATTCATCTAACCTTCATCTGAAGTATGAATCCATTCTAATATCCCTAATTGGCCTTCAGTGATAGAGGACTTATTACCTAGCACAGCCCCCTTTTAGGCTGCTTAAAATCAAATCAGAAATGATTTATGAACAATATTAGGCACTATGAGGAATAGAGAAGTTTTAACCATGGTCCATATCAAGGAGCTTACAATCAAAGAAGACAAATAAAATACATACATATGAGGTCCTATTCTTGGTTCTTCCACACTTTCCTGGACCTCAGTTTCCTTCTCTGTAAAATAATCAGATCATTCCTATAGTGTTTCACACTCAAATATTCTAATTTCAATTTCCATGATAAAAACAGTATATAATTAAATGTGACACTGTTTACTACAGATTATATGTGTTGCAGCTTAGTGAACAGGAAGTCCAATGGGCGCTAGAATTAAACGAGGCCCCAAAAGACATTACCTCTCTATGCCTCTCCCTCTTCAAATGAGATAATATTTGTAGAAGATTTTAGCACAATATCTGATTGAGGTTAGAGTGACAGCATTTAGTGCAGAATTAGTAGATACGATTCTCTTGGTAGTCACTCACCAGTTTCTGGTTTAAAAAAGGCTAACAAGGTATCTCTATAGGTATATCTTCCATACAATTCCAAGTGTCAGTGTTACTTCTTTTTCTCTAGTTACATATTTTTATGCCAAAGGATCTCAGCAAAGAACCTCCCTTCATACTTGAGCAAGGAAACCTAAGTCCTTTCCCTGGAGCTCCCTCTGAACAGGGAGAAGTCAGATGAAGCTGAATAGTCTGAATAAAAACTTTTCACCATACACATACTTTCCATTAAATCACTAATAGGGACTTAAAAAAAAAAACCAATAACAACGGATACTGAAGATAAGGGAGAAGTCTATTCCAAATGGAGTCAACAAAAGATGCAAACAAAGACATGACAGAATGAAAACAAGGGATAGGGAATAGTCTAGCTTGTCTAGAAGAAAGAATATATAAAGTATGAGATAAAGTTGAAAAGATAAGATTGGTGTCGTTTTGTGGAGGACTTTGAAAGGCAAAACCAAGAAGTGCATACTTAATTCTACAGGCCACTGCAGAATTCAGAGAACCACTGAAAGTTTCTGAGCACAGAGTAAATGACTTGATTAAAGTAGTCTATTACTAAGATTGCTTGGGCATGGTGTGAAGGACAATTTGGAGATGGAGACAGAATAGAGATATAATCAAACTTGAATTGAAAGGGCACATATGTGAGTTTTTCCAAAGAGGAGATTAGTAATAATATTTGGTACACTGTTGGGGAGGGTAGAGGCAGAGAGAGAAGATAATAAATAACATTTAAATAACATTAAGGTTTGTAAAGTACTTAATATCCTCATAGCTCTATGGAAATACTCACTACAGGTAATTGTTCCCATTTTACAGATAAGGCAGAGAGGGTAACAGACATGCCCCCAGAGTCACACAGCTACTAAATGTGAGACATGATATTCAAACCCAGGTCTTCCTAACTCCAAGTCCTACACTAGACACTATGCAAGAAGAGAGTTGAAAATTACACTCAGGTGTCCAGATGACTCAAAAGATGCTGTAGGTACCACCAAGAGACAGAACTCAGGTGCAAGGAATGGTTTTTGTTCTTTGTTGGGTGTTCTTGTTTTGTTGTTGGGTTTGTTTGTTTATTGGGGGGATAAGGGTGGCCTGTAGAGATGAAGATTGGTTTGATCTTAGATATGCTGATTTTGAGATGCTTTACAAGTAAAGATATATATAGCAGGCAGCTAGAAATACAGTATGAAGGGCCTGGAATAAAGTCAGAAGTGGAGATCTGTATTTCACTTCCACACTACTCTGATCAAGCAACATACCTAAATTCCCAATGCCTTTATAACAGATTTGCACTTGTTCACAAGCCAATGACTAAGAACCAGATTGCCAGGAGATATCTCTAAAAAACCTACGAGAGCAACCAGAATTGAAGCTTACAAGCCACAGAGAAATGGGCAAGTAAAGACTGAAGCATTTATGAGTACCTGAATTTAGTTCATTCTAAGCTGGCCTAATGACATATGCAAATCTAGCCTAACCATTTCTTGTCCCAAACAGTTGTTTCCAAAAGGATCCTCAGTATTTCAGGTTTTAAACTAAAATACCAGAGTTAATAAAGCCATCCACCCACACTGTGTAGATTCCATGCTGCTGTTTCTGAGGGTCTGTCACACATTCTAGGGCAGAGCTCCAACACATACTGCTTTCACATGGCAACAAAAGCATTCCAGTCACTGCACAACACAGCAATTCCATACTTATTATCATACTTATCAATGCTTATTAATTTGTCATTTTAATGTTAAATATAAGCTCATATCTACATTTAAGGCAGATCTTCACTGACACTCATTAGTTGTGTTTTACAATATTGGAAAATATAGCTGTAAACGTATGTACATACTTCTCAAAATATGCATATATACAAGCAAAATCTACAAAAACTCAAACTGTTTAAATGAAAATAGCTTGTAATTTTATTGTCACTCTTCTTCATTTTACTTGTTCCCCTAGTTCCCTTTTACTCGCTTTTCTAGCTCCATGCTTCTTTTTTTTTCCCATTATAGTTTGTTTTTTCATTTTGTTTTGTTTTCTCCTACAGCAAAGGTCTGCAAACTTGGGACCCATGATTTAGAAGTTGTTTTCACATTTTTAAATGGTTGGGAAAAAAAAATCAAAAGAAGAACATTTCATGACTTGTGAAAATAACATGAAATTCAAATATCAACATCAATAAATGAAGTTTTATTGGAACATAGCCATGCTCATTCAACAGGGGCAGTATGACATTCTCATCACTTCACCTTGCTGCTAAACCCCACCAAAAATCACAGCAATGTCATTAGGAAACTTGATAGCATGAGTCCACACAAATCACCATACTTTGACATTTTTTTTAATCACAGTGCATACCTAAGAGGTCAAAACCAGAAGTAAGGGAGGAAAAATAAGCAGCTTTATGATTATTTTTTGAGCTCATGTCTGAGATTGAAATTTTCTTAACAAGAAGAACTATCCTCAACCACTATTATCAAACACTCAATGGCTTTGGAAATTAGCTTTTTGCTGCAGAGTTAATAATGTTTCTCAATTAATTTAATCTAAAATCACAAGGTAAACCAGGAGTTATACATAAAACTTATAGAACAGGAAAGTCAATTTAATGTTTGAATCAGAAGGAATGTCAAGCTGCTTTATTCAATTTCCAAGCTGCCAAAATTTAAAATAGTGATGTCCCCATTCCCACAAAAATTTGCAGTGGATATATTTTCTGAGTTCAAACTACAGTTCCAGGAGGATTTTTCTACTTCGGTGGCAAAAGATTTCCATATTTAAAAATCCATCTGACAGTGTAATTGAAGACTTTCTACCTAACATTCAATTGGAAGTGATTGATCTGCAATGTAATGATATGATAAAAGGTAAATATCAAGGGAGGGCTGTAAGAGAATTCTATAAATACCTTCCAAAGGATGAATGTGCTCAATTAAAATCCTATGCTTATGGACTGATTTGGCCAAACCTATCTGCATGAAAAGACATTTTCAAAGAAATCTGTAAAATCTCATTACAGATCAGCATTTGTTAAAAGATGAATATTTATCATCTATTTTGATGATTGTGAACACTAATTATAAAACCCAACTAAAGGAAACGTGTACCTCCCCAAAAAAAATTCCCTTCTCATTAGTCCAATGTTGCAATAAATTGTACTTCATTATCATTATCTGATATTATATATAATTGAACTGTCAAAAAATCTGTGAAAATTTGTTTTCTCCTATTACAAGTAGCTATGTAATAGCCTCAATTTTACTTCTTGGCCCACAAAGTCTAGGATATTTTTTAATCTAGATCAGCCCTTCACAAAGGCCCACAAAGTCTAAAATATTTTCTACCTGTATCTGTTACAAAGTTTACATTCTATACTTCATCATTCCTACCCCCAGTAACATATATTTTCTCTTCTGGTATGTTATTTTTCACCACCGTTGTCATTCCCCTGCACCAGAACAGAACCTCCTAGTTCTCTCATCTAAATTTCTCTATCTAGAGTCTGAGACCTTCCAGCAACAATCTCTCAACTCTCACACATCTCCCAAACTTCATTTCTTACTACACCTGTAGGGAGTCTTCACTTCAGCCAAGTTAATATGTTTGCTCTTCCCATAAAAACATGCGATTACACATGGCCTCTGCCTGGGATTTGCTACTCAGGGCTCTCTATCCATTCCCGCCCCTCACCCACCTTCAAAATTTAGCTAAAACTTACTTTCTCTAGAAAGGAATTTCATAATTGATTGTAGCAGATGTTGTCCATGAGCCTTACTAGCAGCACCTCAGCCCTCCAATTCAACTACAGCAATGTTGTTTGGGGAGAGGGCACACACACAAACATGTTGTAAGCTCTTCGAGGCCAGTTATCAACTCATTTTTCATGTACATATAGCAAATGCTCAGAGCTGCTGACTTACTATTCTAATTTGCAATTATGTGAAAAGCAAAGCAGCCCTACACATGCCCACAAAACAGCCCATGGCCACGTTACAAATCATCATATCTCCAAAGAAATATAAACTATATAAATAATATCTGAATATATAAACACAATCTCTAACAAACTTTTTTTCAGGTCAACAGCTGGCTTGGACTATTCATTCTACGTGATGTTTCAATTACAAGAGTTCAATCAACATTTACTAAGTGTCCTTCCTCAGCAAAGAGGACCGATGACATTATGGGGTGATGTTTTGATTCTCATGTGAACTGAATTTAAGTAAGGCAGAACTGCACA